ATGTAATCAAATAAATTATACTACGTGTAAACTAAAATATGTAAATAATAAATAAAAACATAACCGTTCCGATACCTATGATCACCCTCTGTAAATAACTCAATAAAAATTAATATATCTAATACTTTTCATCTTAAAAAAAAAAAAAAAAAAATACATATATTGATTTATAATATAACTAATAGTTAGTTATTATTTATATTTCTTTTTTTCTACAAAGGTTTTTAAAGTTAGTATATATTATCTTATATATTTTTTTTTCTCTAATCAAACTGTTATTAGTATATTTATTAATTTAATTCTAAATAACAATAATACAATATCAAATATGACATTATACTAAAGCTAAACTATCTATAATAATAAAATACTCATTAACAAGTTTCAGATTTGTATATGATTCTTGAATCTTTAATATCAAGATCACTGCAACTATTCATTAACTATTTTATTACAAGGAAATAAGTTTATTAAGTTATTACTATATGATACTAACTATTTTAGACTTTCCAAATTCTAACTCTCTAAATATGATTATAGGAAATAATAAAATTATTTCTTTCTAGAGTTAGATACATAGTCAACCCTGTTAAACCGAACTCTGTTAAACTGAAGTACTAATTAAATTCTTATTATTTCGAAGTTTGTTCAAAAACTGTTATATTGTAAATTATCTCGTTAAACCAAATTTACTAGATAAACCCTTCTAAACCAAATTTTCCAAAAAATTTTATTAATAGTCCCAGCCACCTTGGTTTAACGGGATTCACTGTGTATCAAAATTTTCACTTCAAGAAATTAAAATCAGCCTATATTTAGACTGTTACTTCGATACAATCTTATTGTCCTAAGAGATAAAAAAAATTTTTATTTTTCTAAAAAATAAAGAAAAGATAAAAAGGGAAGGAAAAGTTTATACTAGTAAATAAAAACCCATCTAAACTAATTACCAGTCTAATGAGAGTCTTTTTTGATCTTGAGAAGAAAAGAAATCAATATAAAAGAGAAGGAAGAAGACTTCAAGCCATTTCTTATTAAGAAAATATCTTGACACCTTGCTTTTTCACTATTATTCAATTGTATCATCAGTTGTAATGTAGCATAATATAAAACATATGGGAGTACGTATCTTGTTTACTTTTCTTTTATATGTTAATTAACCAGCCTAAGATTTTAGCCAATCATTAATCAGAAATTCTAATGTAACAAAAATTCAAAGTCAAATTGAAGTAAGCAAATTTCTTAAAAAAAATCAAAAAAATTTGTCACACTTGAAAATACTACCATAAACATGTATGACTAGTGAAGAAAAATCATATATCTAAGTAAATAGGTTTCTATCAGCTTATCTATTTATCTGAATCATATAAGTTTTAACTTATAGTGGATCTAAGGTTCTTATAAAACTTGGGAAATACATTTGCTTAATAGATCCAACTAGCTTATCCACTTGTCTTTAGTCAAAGATTATTTACTTATAGTGAATTCAAGATTTTTATAAAGCTTGAAAAATACATTCACTAGTGGTTCATTTTCTGAAGTTTTAGACTTAAGGAGAATATAATGGAGGATATTTTTTTAATAGGATTTTTTTTTCAATAAAATGTTCTTGCCATAAATCAAATGAATAAAGTTTTGTTTATTTTATTTTATTTTTTTTTAACGTAGATAAACACCATTTCTTTATTTATTTATATATAGCAGGGTATATATTGTGGAAAGAAACAACATCTCTCACATATAATTTTACAGTGAGTTAAATGCTAGCTTGCCTACAGTAATCACTTAACTTCTACTAGAAAAGATATTTTAAACTAGTATACTAATTAGGTGATGCCGAGCAGCTGTGGATACCTACTCAGAGTTTTGAGATATAATATTATGATGGTTAGAGATAAGATTATGTATACATTTGGAATAGTTGAATTTGCTTTGAATAAATGTTTCTGTAACAAGGGTTGGAATGTCGATTATGATGTTTTCAGGGGCCAGGGTTGAGGTATTGTTATTGAAAGGTGGGTTGTTTTTTTGTGCCCCACTCTTCCTGGCATTGTCGATGCTTGTATTGTTAGCGTTTGCGTTGTTATTACTGTTGGTGATGTTGTTGTTATTATTGCTTTTCTTCTTCTTTTTTTTAAGGTTTTCGTTCCATTTGATACCTGCGGTGGGTGAAGTGTTTGCTGTACTGCACCGAGGTTTCCAGATGCAATTGTAAGAGGATATGAGCGCTTCAACAGATGCTTGGATCCATTTCTGTATATCAGATGTGGAGAAGATGCCCTTTGTGATTCCACACGCAAGGATAAAGTTTTGTTTATTTTGTTATTGAAATATATAAAGTTTTTAGAAAAAGGAAAAATAAACAAATAGAAAAGATATCAACTTTTAAAAAATAAGATTTTTAAGAAAAATATATAAACTTTATTATCAAAAACAAAAAATATTTTTAAGAATATTTGTTTTTTGGATTGGCAAAGAGATCAGTAGAAAAAGTTTTTAATTTCATATCATTTTATATTGTTATAATAAGCTATAATTAATTTACTTATATAAAGATTATTAATATAATAATAATAAATACTTGTTTAAATAAAATCTTGTATTTAATACCTATTTGTAATCAAAAATAAAAAAAATAATAATAATGTATTTTATTTAAATTTATTGACTTTTATTTTATTTATTTGTTGTATATAATAATAAAATCTTCAATAATAATAATTTTTTTAAATTTAATTTTATTTAAAAACAAAATTATGTTAGTTTTAAATAAATTATTATATTAAATTACTATATACTTTAATATTTTGTAATTCTAAGTATTTATTTGTTATAAATAATTTTATAATAAACGAACGATTTGAATGGCTAATAATCATGAAATAAACAAATGGAGTGTGCGAAAGAACAAATTCAGGGCCTTCGGAGCAAGTAGTAAGAGATTACAATCTAACCTTAAAAGTCAAAAAGTCAACATCAAACAGTATATAAACATAGCCAATACGGCACAGCCACTCATAGAGAATCCAGAATATAGTTGTGGCTGAAGTAATAAATCAAGACAATAAACAAGCGAAAACTGTTAACCTGCATAGCCTTGCAGCGATCAATTGCTGCAAGTTTTCATTTTGCCGATGCGTGATCTTAGATAAACTCACAGCTATTGACCTCAATAGACAATAGATTCTCTAAAATTATAAAGAATTCATGTGATGGTCCATCATTCAGTGTGTTAATTTTGGTTAATATCATTTCTTTGCTAATGTCAGTCGTCAAAACGACTAAAGATTAAATTTCTTCATTTACATTATTTTATTGGGTTAAAGCATTCCAACCATAAGGCTGGGGGGTGAAATTGAATATTGGTAATGATAAAGTTAGCATATAAAATATCTATCGAGTTTGTTATTAAATTTTAGCTTCTTAAAAAAGGCACAGTCAACTTCCTGGTTTGTGAAAAATCCTTTTGAAGAAGAAAAAAAAAGAACGGTAAGTGAGGGCTTAAAAATCATATAAGGAAACAATTTTGCACCACTCACAAAAGAACTTTGCCTCTTTAATAGTATTTATTATGTTGATATACATTGATATACATACAAACAAGAAAACCGTTTTCGTGTGCTACACAATACAAGTTTACAGTTAACGTTAATTTTATATATGTATACATGCCATATATAATTACACTCATATTGCGGACTTCTCGGCGAAAATTTTTTGCACTCAACTTTCTACGGCAGTCTTTTCATAACTCGAGATTTCCCCTTTCCAAAAATTCGCTTTCTGCCTGTAGGCTTCCCTCCCATAAATCCACGCTTCGCCACCACTCAAAAAGACACGACTTTTCTTTACTTTTTTTTTTCTTTTCTTAAAAAAATCAAAATTAAAAAAAAAAAAAAAAAACACTTATCAAATGAAGCAACAGAAAGAAACTGTAGGAGCTTGTTCGGTATTGGCTCTCAGCCGCCAAGGCTCAATGCCGCACACAAATTATTCTTCTCACGAAGACATTCAACGAAAATTCTTGCCTTATTACAACCCTGATAACATGAGTTACCCTACCTCAATGATAGAGCCGCTCTCTATTTCGGAGGGTAATTACTATTATTACCCTCCATTGTTTTCGTTTGGCCCACCAGCCTCCAACAGTTTATCCCCTGATTCTTCTGAAACTTGCTCAGATTTGGACCTCAATGATAGTTTCTCTCCAACCTCTCCGCCTTCTGGTTTTACAAGTCCTTCTTTGACAATTAAAATGGAGGCCTCACATCAGGGTTCATTACATCATGATCAAGACTATAATGTCGCAATGACATTGGCCAAAGATATGCCAATGAGCCATTTGTCCCCGTACTCTACACAAGGTAATCAAATTTATCAATTCGTATTTATTGGTGAATGATAATGCTTGGTGGTTAATAATATTTTCTATTTATTTATATTTTTCAATTATTTAGGACCAATGATTTCGCCTTTAGCGGATTGTTTTTCTATTTCTGCTACTGCGGAATCTCCTTTTGTTGGTGTCATTCAATCATCTCCGGTTACGCAAGGAAAAATTTCAAACACAACCACCGATCAGTTGTTTGAAATGGATACAAAATCCTTTTTTCCTGCCGCTTTGGATGCCCGAGATTATTTTGGCACCGATAATTCAGCCTCGGAGGCCGCACGCCGTAAATCACTTGATGATGCTATCTTTCTACGCAAGATTGCTTCAACTCCAGTGAAATCCGAAGTTGCATTCCAACAGCACAATCGCCGCAAATCTTTACCTGGTGACTTGACTCAACGTCTCCATATCGAAACATTGTCGTCATCCACCAAACAGCAAAGAAAATCTACTAAATCACTCGCCCCTTTCGCATGTCCTCATGAACATTGCCCAAAAACATTTACACGGCAATATAATTTAAAGTCACATCTTCGCACCCATACAGATGAGAGACCCTTTGTCTGTAATTATCCTGGATGTCCACGTGCCTTTGCTCGACAGCACGATCTCAAACGTCATCAAAAACTACATCTTGGATTAAAACCTCACGTATGTGGTAATTGTGGTCGTGCCTTTGCCAGATTAGATGCTTTGAACCGCCATTTACGAAGTGACAATGCGACCCAGTGTGCTCAAGCTACACTGGCTGGTTCAGCTAGTAAATTGTTCAAATCGGTAAATATATAGAGCACGAGAACACCATCTTCGATTGATTATAGTAGATCAATTATGTTTTTTTTTTTTTTTCCGAAAAATTAAAAAAAAAAAAAAAAAAAAATTTTTTTTCTCCTCAACATCTCCTTTTTCCCTATCTCCCATCTTCCTCCACACTTCCCTTTTCTTAACCCTCTACTAATTTGGAGATGATGTAGATCAACATCGTTTTTTTAAATATATTTGTAACTGGGTTTTGTATTTTTTTTTTTTTTTTTTTTGACAAATCGTCATGTACATTATTTCAGAATTTGATTGGATAAGATTGTTCACGTTCATTTTATAATTGATTCTAGTCTTGTCAATCTAAATTCCACTTATGTATATTTTTTGACACCAGTTACCGTTGTACATAGTTTAACAGTGATTTTAAAAGAGAGATCTTCGTATAAAAATTGTGAATAAAAATTTAAAAAAGAATATGATATATAATTTATAACTTTGTCTAATTTACATTATATAATACACGCGAACATTAACAAGATTTACATGTAATCATCAATGCTTCCGTGATTTTCTGTGATTGATCTTAGCGTGGCAATTTTCATTGTAATAGTTACTATGAAACTTATGACCATGAGAAATTTCAACATGGAACAAAAATGTCGATCAGCAATGGTGGTTGCTATAGTCATCCGACAATGAGTAATTTTATTTTACCTGTATGATATTGTCATTTTTGGTTTTAATATTGCCAATTTTATATTTTAGAATAAAAAATTTTCGATTGATTAGTCAAAATGATTTTTTCTTTTTTTATGCAAAAATAAGGTTTTTTTTTTTTTTTTAAACGTTAATATTTTAGAAAAGAAGACCCTTTTTTTTTTTTTGACGCGTGGTTTCACGAGAATAATTTTATAATAATAATATATTCATCTTTAAAATTAACAATTTTATACGATATATACAGTATACAGTGTATAACAATCAGTATGACTTTATTTATTAATATATAAATTTTAATATAAAAATATATGCTGTATGTATTTAAAAAATTAAATAATTTATATTATATATATATACTGTATATAATAATAATAATTATTATTATTATACAGTATATAAATATAATAAATTGTTTAATTTTTAAATATATATATTTAATTATTTAAACAATTTTATTAATTGAATAATATAATAATTATTATAAAAATCTTTAAATTAATATTTTTTAATAAATATATATTTTATAAATAAATATTATTTCTTTATTTTATTTGTAATTACAAAATATATATTATAAAATAAATAATATTTTTAATATATTCCATAATACAATAAATTAAATATAATATTATAAGTTTTATTAATAATTAATTAAAAACAGTGTAGGACAAAAATAATGGTCCTGATAATTTTTATTATAATTTAATAAATAATAATTTAATTAAGATAAAACTTTAAATATATATATTTTATAACCTAATTAATAAATTTATTCAAAAAAAAAAACTCTTTCCCACTCCCCTCCCTACGCTTAAAAAATTTCCTTTTTAGGAAATTTTTAAGTTGTTTTC